GCCCTGGCCCTCTGAGCACCACGTCACACCTGGCAGCCTCACCTGGCACAGCACTCAGGGGCTGACCTCCTGTCCACTCAGCAGGTGTCTTGCCTTCTGCTCTGGGTTCCTGGCTGGCAGGGGGCGAGAGACACCCTGAGCCCCTTTTGTACCCAGAGCCCCATCGCCCTAGGAGGGCAGGAACTTGCTCTGGGGCGGCTCCTTGAGCCCACTGGCCACAGAAGCTCTTGGGTAAGGGCCCATGAGGATCTGCTGTGCTTGCCAACATGCCAGTCTGCAAAGTAACCCTCCCACCCTCCATTCCCGCAGCAGCAGCAGCGCGGCAGCCCAGTGAATGAGCACCTTTCCACCCTTCCTCAAGCTCTGCTTTCCGGAGCCACTCTTGGCACCGAGTCTCGCATTCTGGAGACTGGGAGGGCGGGGGTGTGTGGCTGGGTGGGGACTTTCATCTTGAATAAGCACCGCAAAAGAAGAGAGACAGACAGACAGGAAGGGGGAGAGAGAGAGCGAGAACGAGCAAGTGAGCAAGACTTCCATCCTGAATAAGCACCACAGAACAGAGACAGGGAGACAGTGTGTGTGTGTGTGTGTACTCAAGGAACTGCAGAATCTGGCTGAAACACCTCAGCAGGGGGCTGGGAACACCTGAGAAGTGACCTGGGTGGGGTGTGGAACCTGAGGCCCGGTGGAGAAATTGTCATGGAAACACCCATGGAGGCTTGACAATGAGCATTCGGGCAGAGACACCTGAAGCCAGTGCAGGGAGGCTGCGGGCATGCCTCCCTGAAGCTTGGACACAGTGGCTTGGCTGCGATGCTGGGACTGGCCTGGCACAGTACTGACGAGGGGGCTCAAAGGTGCAGGGAAGGAGGGCGCAGGACACACTGCCTTTCCAGAGGCAGGAGGGAAGAGTTGGATGAGGGTTGGTGATGAAGGCCTGGATGCTGCTGGAGGAGTCTGCCAGCGGGCAGAGAGGTGACAGGAGTCAGGCACGGCAGAGGGCAGGGTACCATGTATCCATGGGAGGCAAGGCATGGACTTGAGAGAGCGGTGGTGATGCTAGCAGCTCAGGGCCCACATGTGGCAAGAGGCAGGAGCAGCCGACTCGAGTTGGGACTCTGTGTCACTGAACTCTCGGGGCAGGGTCCCCTTGATGAGCAGGCTATCTGCCATGGAAAGGGGACTGCCGCTGCTAGGTCAGTTCACAGCCCACCATTTTTGACTGATGGGAAGACGGGTCCCTGGGGAAAGGCCTTACAACGCGATCGCATGTATACTGAGTACACGTTTCCTCAAGCTTTCCACAAGGGGAGAGCTGTGCCAGGGCGTGGGGAAGCCCAGGCTTTGTGAGACCCCAAACTCACTGTCATCAAGCCGATCCCAACTCATCACGACCCTACAGGACAGGGTAGAACTGTCACTAGGTTTCGGACACTGCAATCTTTATAGTAGACAGGCTCATCTTCCTCCCACACTAGCTAGTGGATTTGAACCACTGACCTTGTGGTTAGTGGCATAATGCACAATCCCCTACACCACCAGGGGCTGCCAAACACTATGGTCCCATTGGGGAAGTGTGGCTTACAAGGACCCCGGTGATAAATGGAGTTTGGGCCAAAGTCCATTTTGTGGTGGGTCCACGTGGTCTGTAGAGCCACCATGCTGGTGTCAGGGGATAGATCATCTCAACTGTCATAGCCCTCATACTGGTTCCCTGACTTGTGGAAGAAGAGTCGTTAACGAGGGACAGGCCAAGCGGAAGCCCGAGACGTCCTGCCCAAGAACATAAATCAAAAGCAAAACTTCATTCTAGGGACTGATGCCATGGGGCTGAGGGTATAGGGAAGTAGGCACCTCACTACTTTTGTCATACATGTCCCCATCCAATCGCCTGTTCGGCCCCTGCCCAGACTGGGTGGACCCCTATCGCCTCATCATCTGAGTGGCCAAATGCAGCTGTCCTGCCGGATGTGGTCAAAGTCCCCGTTGTGCTGGCACGGACGGGTCCCCGTCAGAGCAGTCAAGGTGCAGCTCAAGTTCCAGCAGCAGGGAGGACCAGAGCTGTGGTGACGAGGACCCTCCTGCAGGGCGGCACCGTAGAGTCCACCAGCCCGTGGTCCTTGACTGGCTTACATTTGAAGTTAGCCATGCTGGCCCCCACATGGAGTCTCCAGTAAGTGACACCTGGTGAGCAGGATGGGCAGGCATCCCAGGTGCTCTACTGGCCACGCGCATGGCAGTGGAAGGGAGAGGAACTGTACTGTGCTCAGGGCACTGCCCCACTGGCACGTTTCTGGGCTCCGGTGATCAGGTCCATAATGCGTGCACACCGTGGGTGTGATTCAGGACTGTCTCTGAGGGCCCTTTAAGGTCACTTCCCGCGCCATTCCGCCCCGAGAGCTTATTCGCTGGCAGTACTGGGCTGTTTTCCCGGTAGCATTTCCGCACCATCTGGATGCTGTGGAAGGAACACCCGTGACACCATTTATCCTGCTCCCTGACCTTGGTTTTTCTCAAAAACCTGGCAGTTGGATCAAGAAGGACCCATGGCTTCTCCACATGCCGACATATGCACAGGCACTTTCTTTTATGTTTAATGTTGGATTTATGCATATGAAATTGATCATTTTCAAACCTTTGAATTAGCTCCAAGTTTTTTGTGGAAAGTAGAAATGTCAGCATTTATTTACAATGCTTTCATGAGACTTATTTTATTTATTTTTTACATGTTTACCCTTTCCGGGGTGTATGTCTGTGTGCCTAAAAGTGGCTTCTACAGCCTTAGTTAGGAGTGTGCCCATCACAGCAGGCCCATTCTTCCAGCGAGGTCTTTCAAAGCAAGCCCTCTTACTGCACTGAGATGACAGGGCTCTTTGAAGGCCTTCAACAAAACCAGCCTGCTCCTCTACATGTTCTCTTCTTGGTAAAAATCCTCACCAACATGGAAGCTTGATTTGAAGATGACAAAGCTGACTTCAGAGTTGCTGAAACGAAATCCACAGGGACACTGCTGGTAAAAGAAGTCACCTGTTGCAGGGCCCCCGGGCCCCCCTCAGGTGTGACCTGATGGGCAGGGAGGTTCACGTGTAACAGTAAGGCACGATGACTTAAGAAGAACGTTGAGGAGACGATTTTTCTCATCTAGGGTTGGTCCCAGTGGGTCAAGTCCATGAAAACAGTGACATAGTTTACTATTTAAAAATGAAAACTTCTTCATATAAGCCTCTCGAAAACAAACACAACCAACGCAAAAATGCCCTATAACTATCAACACACGTTTCAAACAAGGACAAACCAGGAACAACACACTACTCTCGACAAAGGATTAAAACAATAGCTTTAAAATGGGCTCAGAATAACAAGAAGAATCAGTCCATAAGAAAAGGGGCAAAAGTCACACACATAAACCACGAATGTCCCCAAACAAGCAGAGATGCAGCCTTCTGACCAGTCGTGGGGAGAACACATGGCCACCAGGTCGGCAGCGGGATACACATTCTACATTCTACACCACCACCACCACCACCACTGGACGCTGCCCACAGATGTGCGGATCTTTGATGGCACTGACCCGGTGAGACACTCTAGAAGAAAACCCAGGTGCTTACGTCAGAACCAAGATAGGCTCCTAGGAGCCTATCTACGAAGAAGCACCCAGACAGATGCAAACGCATGGGAACTATTCACTTGGGTTGATTTTAATTAGTAAAAAGCTGAGAGGGAAAAACAAAGCTAACTTTCCATTACACAGAAGATGGTGAAATACTTGTTCAGTGGAACACGGTTTAGTAAAAAGCCTCGATATACAAACACGTGAGGCAAAAGCCGTAGGAAGACAGAGAGAGGACGGGGCTGGGGTGTGCGCGTGCGCACAGAGCCAGCTCAGCGTGCAAAGACATACGCTGGGATTTTCCTTCTCGCTTCCACCTTCCTACTTCATCTGAATGTTTCCTCCTAAGATGGTGGCTTTTATGCAGAGAAGGAAAGGCATGTTTTATTAGACAAACACAGACTCTGGAGTTTCTAGTTCAATGCTCTCTTTCTGGTCGGGGCAGCCCAGGGCAATTTGTGAGAAGCCTGCTCACCAGGAATTTTATCTCAAGTCACGATGATCAGTTTACTTAATTTTCCCTACTAACTAGGTGATGAACATTTTAAGCTGGAAACCTTTCCAAAATCTCTTCTTAAGAATGCTTTTCAATTAATGAGTTACTTTGCTATTTTCACATTATCCCCAACATGTTTGGAAAACATGCTATGGCTTGTCTGGAGAGAGAAAAGAAACCCAGCTTTGACTCCTTTAGGCTCCCTGGTGGTGCAGTGGTGACCTGTTGGGCTACCAGCCCCAAGCACGGCAGTTCGAAACCACCAGCCGCTCCAGGGAGGAAGAGGAGGCCGTCTGCTCCCGTAAAGA